TCTCATTTCAGAGATGGTGCTAGCATACCTTGCCCTCCACAGGCTTTGGTTCATTTTGCCTTAGCTCACCATCAGGCAGATTAGTTTTTGTTTATTTTGCTTCTCTGTACTTCAACTCTCTGCTTTTAGGATCTTCTGGGGTGGGACACTGTTTGTACCAATTTGTTTCCCTTCCACTTCTATTCTAATCAAGACTTATGAAAGGCTCTTCTCCTCCACCGGTCTGTTTTTTTTTTGGGGGGGGGTGTTACTCCTCTGAATTTAGCATCATGTGGGGTATCTCTGATGCTACATTCGATTTTTTTTATTGCTCATTTGTCTCTTGAGCCATTGCATTTTTTATTCATGTCCCATGTCTGACACCTTCCTGTTATTTACTTGTTTTACAACCAAGAGATCCTCCATTAGTGATGTATTCTTGATGCAGTTGAACCATATTGATCATAGGTCACGTGGGAGTTTTCCAGGGGGACGACACTAGCCGATGTATGATCTGTAGGTGATGCCAAAATTTAGTACTTATTTAGATACATTTTATAAGGAAACTAAACACAGAGAGGAAAGAAAGATTATTAGAAGTGATTACAAATTAAATGCATTATAATTATTGTCATATCCACATTTGAGAATGAATGTCTTACTTTATTACATATAGTAACTTGTTAATTTTTCTTGAATATTTGTTGTTTAAGAGATTTCCCCTTGAAATATTTTTTTATTATTTGAATTTTTTAATCTAGAATAAAATTCTACTTTTTATTTCCTCTTGTATTATTTTGAACAAATTTAAATATTTGTTTCCACTTTGTTTGTTACAACCTTGTTGCTTAATTATATAACCAGTCTGTCATATTTGTATATTATATTTTTTTTGTGGTTAACTGTATAGTACACTAACTGCATATTTTCAGAGCCTCCGTCTAATCTGACCTGCAGGGAATACACAGGAAATGGTAAGCCATTACATTGATATAACTATTAGATAAAATGTCAGTTAATAAATCATAGCTACTGTTTTGTATAAACTACTAGATTATAGCTACTGTTTTGTATAAACTGGTAGATTATAGCTACTGTTTTGTATAAACTAGTAGATTATAGCTACTGTTTTGTATAAACTAGTAGATTATAGCTACTGTTTTGTATAAACTAGTAGATTATAGCTACTGTTTTGTATAAACCAGTAGATTATAGCTCCTGTTTTGTATAAACCGGTAGATTATAGCTCCTGTTTTGTATAAACTAGTAGATTATAGCTACTGTTTTGTATAAACCGGTAGATTATAGCTACTGTTTTGTATAAACTAGTAGATTATAGCTACTCTTTTGTATAAACCGGTAGATTATAGCTACTCTTTTGTATAAACCGGTAGATTATAGCTACTGTTTTGTATAAACTGGTAGATTATAGCTACTGTTTTGTATAAACTGGTAGATTATAGCTACTGTTTTGTATAAACTAGTAGATTATAGCTACTGTTTTGTATAAACCAGTAGATTATAGCTACTGTTTTGTATAAACTAGTAGATTATAGCTACTGTTTTGTATAAACTAGTAGATTATAGCTACTGTTTTGTATAAACTAGTAGATTATAGCTACTGTTTTGTATAAACTAGTAGATTATAGCTACTGTTTTGTATAAACTAGTAGATTCTAGCTGAAATTTAGATTCCTTAAAATCTGTCTCAATGCTCATCACTAAAAGGTAATTCAGTTTTTTCATGTAAATTGTGGAACAAAGATAATTTTTATGTGCTTCGATGCTGAAAATGAACACTCACTGGTACAATTGCTCACCATCAAGTATAGATACATGCAGAGACAAATATTCAAATTAGAGAAAGCTTCTTATGGCTCATCTTTTATTAATATGCGATACATAGAAAATTCAATGCTACAGTATTGTCAGAAACAATGTTACCTGCTTCTGCTTTGAAATATTCTCTGTAGTGAACAATTTACTCAGAAAATATTGGTTCCAAGTCACTAGGAAAGACTGAAGACTAGGCTTCCAACCATTTGGTCAAAGTAGCAGAAAACTGGACAAGAATTGGTAGAAACACCTCAATTTTAAATTGTTAATGTACAGAAAATATTGTTTCTTCAGCAGGACCATCACCACACAAAACTCAGACCACTCTTGTGCTTTCTTTCGACTTCTTTGTATTCAGTATTTCTTGACTTAGAAATATTCTTTAGTTCAAAGTTGTTGAAGGTTTCTCGGTGAGAAGTAACATACTCCTTTAGAGAAAGAAACAGTTTGATGACTTCATTCAGGTCTAGGTCTGCACCTTGAAGTTTGATGCTGGTTCAATGGGATCATTCTAGATTTGCTTACCAAAGTTCTACTAAGATGCCATTTTCCAAACATTTCATTTTACTCACAAGTCCAGAAGCTTCCCGATGTGCATTGGCCTTCTCCTCACAGTCATCTGCTATCTTCTTCAGAGATAACCAAATTTTCTCATAACTTCAGTTCAAAGCAGTTGTGGCACTGGAGTGTGCTGACCAACGTGTGCTCTTGAGATGTTTCACAAAAGGTAAGTCACTTCCAAGCTCATTCACTAACACTGCTCACCAATAAGTTAGTGCATTGAAGAATGTATAAACATTCACAAAAAATTTAAAAATGCAGTTGCAGCAGTTAAGCAATCAACACCAAAGTGTCCAGCTAAGTCCAATGAATGAACCAATTACACAATCAACAGCAGAGTGTCCCATGAGATCCAATGAATGAGCCAGTTACTCAATCAACAACAAAGTGTCACACTAGATTCAATAAATGAGTAAGGAATTTAATCGGTTGTGAATTGTTTTCACAAATGAGTCCTTGAAGCCTGTTATACTTACTGGTCATATTGCTTGCATTGTCATACAACTGGCCTCTGCAGTTACCAATATCCAAATCAGTTTCATCCAAAAAATGTAAACAGATTGTCTGCAGTATTTTTGGCAGCATGTCTAGAAACTTGACAAAATGCTCAACTGGTCCACCATCAAGGACATATCAAAATACACATGTAAGCCTGTCTACATGTGAATATCCGGAGTTGAATTCATAGATTAGGAAAAGTATTTTGCATGCTTGATTTCCTCAATAATAACATTCAAAACTTTCTATATGTTCATCACACACACAGTGGAAGAGAGATACGACACAGAACTCCTGCCTTTGTCACTGTGCTTTTCTATGTGGGCAGAAAAGAAAGGATTGAATTGGTCCAGTAATTTCAATGTTCCAAGAATGTTGCCATTAGAAGAGAAACCAATGATTTCATCATGACCACAAAATGCCAAGTCATGCTCTGCTAGTGATTTACCGGTAGCTGTCATCCTCTCCAATACTGCCCTGATTTGTATTGTTGCATTATTGAGCTATCCACTCTGTCTTTGACATGTACTCATTTGCTGAAAGCAATTACAGCATCACAATGACTCTCATGTTGTTCAGTACATGTGTTAGCATTTTTCCAGTTACAGTAACCACTTTGAGCAAATGAGTATCATGCCCTGTACTTGGTGAATAGCAAAACCATGTCAGTGGAATGTTTTCACCATTGTGGTAATGTACATGATGGAATAATGTTTTAAAAAGTATCTATTCTGTCTCCAATCAACTTGTAGTGATCTTGAAATATTAGCATCAGTGTCTTAACATGCATAGCTACTACACTTTGGCCAAAAGTAACGTAAAGATTCTGTTACTTATGGTTATATACCAATGTCCTGTGGATACAGATCCATTACAGTTTGTGGTTGTTGCTGATAAATCATCTTGTATTTTTTCCATGGGTTCAGATTCTTCAGCAATAATTTTGATTTACGTGCTGATGTTACCATCATTGGATGTGGATTCTGCTGTTGTTGCAGGAAGTATAGCAAAAGTTGTTGTTTGTAAAGAAAACAATGATGTTATTTTTTGGGTATGTGCCAGTACTGCTTGCTCTTGTTGCTTCTGTTCTGTGGCCTTTTTTTTGCCCTGGATTTATGTTGATAGGCCATCGTCTCTTCAAATTGCTCAGTCACAACTATTAGATCAAGAAATTAATGTTGCATTTTGGAACATTTTCATTAATCACCCCCGAAAAAATGTACATCACTTATAATAGTGAAATGAACCACCTAAACGTCACGTTAGTGTAGCTATATAATGCTTAAAGTTCAGTATGCTCTAATCCCTCACAGTGATGGTACATGACGAGACACACATTCGGCATGTAATGCTGTTTGAATACAAGAAGGGAAACAATGCCTCTATATCCACAAAGAATATCAAAGAAGTTTATGGAAATGTTTTGAATGCTCATAAGTGTCAACAATGGTTCAGCAAATTTCGTTCAGGTGAGTTTAGCCTTAAAACTGTGATGGAATTGATATTGATGCTCTGAAGACACTTGTTGAATCTAACCCAAGTCAACACACTCATGAAAAGACCCTGAAATTGCATGTCTCTCATGAAAGAATACGTAAACATCTAAGGAATATGGGAAAACTTCTAAAAGAAGGTGCTTGGGTGTTTCACAAACTCACTGATGATCATCGTTTTCAACGTGTGAAAGTTGCTTCATTTCTTCTGGCACATAATATGTGTGAACCATATTTGGACAGAATTGTCACCGGTGATGAAAAATGGATTCTCTATGCAAATATTAAATGTCAAAAACAATGGCTCAATCCTAGATAAAACCACTTCCAACCCTAAAACCTGTACTCCATCCACAGAAAGTGATGCTTTGCATTTG